AATGACAGGCGCCTAATTGCACAAATCTATTCTAGAACTTGTTTAGTATTGAATTGGGACCAAGACTCTAAAAAAAAAATTAAAAAAAATGTTCTTCTAGTGAAGAAGACCGTGTGGTTTATTTTATGCTACTATTGTCATTTCCATTCCTGTAATCAAATTGTTCAGTTCATTTAATAAATTTCCTTTTGTCAATCAGTGTTATTCCCTAGCATTGTTTAAATTTCCCTTCCAGAATCCCATAAGATTTGAGGTGATAAGAAGCAAGAAATGTGTCTTCTTATCTCAGAAAAATATGTGCTTGACTTGTTAATTGAGACGAGAAAGTTGGGAGCTAAGCTAAGTAGTGCTCCAATGCTTTCTAACTTACAACTTACCAAAGATGGTAACCTATTTAAAGATCTTAAAATGTATAGAAGAGTGGTTGGAAAATTGAACTACCGTACAGTAACACATCCTGATATTGCGTATCCTGTCAATGTTGTAAGTCAATTCATGTATTTCCCAACGGTTCACCATTGGGCAACTTTAGAACAGATCCTGTATTATTTGAAAATAGCTCCTAGACATGGAATCCTATACAGAAATCATGAACATATTCACATCAAATACTTTTCAAATACAGATTAGGAAAGTTCCAAAATTGACCGAAGATCCACTATTGGCTAGTGTGTTTTTTTTGGATGAAATCTGGTCTCAGGGAAAAGTAAAAAAGCAACATGTTTTGTTGCAATCCAATGCAAAATCAAAATATGGAGTTATGGCACAGTCCCTATGTAAGATAATGTGGATATATCATGTCTCAATTAAAGTTGGTCTTAAGGCTTCAATACCAGCAAAATTGTAGCGTGACAATCAAGTTGCTCTTCATATTGCTTCTAATTCTGTGTTCCATGAGTGAACTAAGCATATTGAGATTGACTGTCATTTCATTCGTGAGAATATACAGTAAAATTTAATCTCTACAGTATATGTGAAGACTGGAGAACAACTATGAGATATTTTCACAAAGGCTCTAACGGGTTCGAGTTGGTTATATCTATAAGAAGTTGGCCATGATTAATATCTATGCTCCAACTTGAGGAAGAGTGTTACGGGCCCAATTATAGGGATTAATAGAGATTCTTAATTTGTATATTTTCCTAATACATATCTTTAACAGTGTATATATATGTATCGTTTCTTTTTTATGGATATAACAAGAAAATTATATTTTCTCCGTTAACCCTTTTTCATGGATATTCTAATAGATTCTGAAACTAATGGTTCAAATTCAGCCAAAATTCCCTTAGGTCAGAATCCAAGATTATCTAGAGAAGAGGAAGAACTTCTTGTTAAACCTGCTCTTTACAGGAGGTTGATTGATTTAGCATTTAGGGTTTAGGGTTTAGGTTGCTATATCTTACTATAACGAAACCTAACTTGACATATTCGGTTAAAATGTTAAGTCAATATATGGACAATCCTCGACTGCCACGCTTACATGCAGCACATAAAGTCCTAAGGTAAATTAAAGAGGCTTTAGGACAAGGATTGCTCTATCTAGTAGTAATTCAGCTCAAAGGCTATGTGACTCAGATTGGGGGATGTGTCCTGATACAAGGAGATCGGTGCCAGGTTATTGTGTGTTTGTAGGAAGTTCCTTTATTGGTATCTTGAAATTCAAAGGAGCAAAGTATAGTCTCTAGATCTTCTGCAAAGACAGAATATAAGGACATGGCTAATGTTTTTTGTAAGCTAACTTAGCTCTGATATTTGTTTGAAGACTTGTAGCTTTCACATCCACAAGCTGCACTTCTTGATTATGATAATAAGTCGATACTGCATATTGCCATGCATCATGTACTCCACAAGAGAACAAAACATATAGAGATTGATTGCCATCTAATTCGAGATAAGATCTAAGAAGCTTTCATCTCAACGAAACATGTGGTTAATAAGTCACAAGTTGCAGACTTCCTTACCAAGAGCTTAGGTTCTCAAAGTTTTTATTCATGCATGCTCAAGATGGGAGTACTAAATATATACTCTCCATCTTGCGGGGAGCTGTTAAAGATTGAAGGAGAACCTGAGATCAATGGAAAAGAAGCTGAATTGCAAAAGAATAGATGTCGGCAACAGTTTGAAAAGCAGCTCACAACAAATCAGCAAGTTAAGAAAGATCTAGAAAGGAAGAAGGAATATTCTATTGGTTGAGATGTTTATTATTAGGCTAGGAATTCAAGGGTTGTATATAGCTGTATATAATAGATAATTTTTTTTCTATTTTGAAGTGGTCAGATTTTGATTCTTTCTCCCATCTACATATATTTAGCATGCATGTTCATTCTACAAACAGAAAGAGAGAGTGAAGACAAAGTTTAAGTTCTTTCCAAATTAATTCTTGCAATTCCTTCTTGTATTTATTAAGTTTAAACGTCTCGTATTCAAAATCTTACATTAACAGTAGATTTTTGAATTTTAGTGGCTCATCATGCCATTAAGTTGTAACGATCTGACCTCTATACCCAAGCCGTTATATCATACGTATTGTCGACTTTGGGTGGGCATCTGTCTACTTACCTTCTAGCGATTTTCCATCGCGTCCCCTAAGATTCAAACCTAAGGCCTCTGCATAATGAGAGACCTAAGTTAAATTTTGGTACCAATTTCAGGTCTTGAATTCGAATCTTGGGGGACGCGATGAAAAGCCTTGAAAGGTGAGATGAGTTTAGGCTCTTTCGAAGTGGACCGTACGTAAGAGAACGATCGAGGACGAAACTTGGATCATTACAGAAAATGCACTTTTTTGTAACGACCCGGCCTCTATGCCCAAAACGTTATATCATACGTGCTTTCTGGTTTGGGTAGACATCTATCCACTTACTCACTCGTGACTTTCTATCACGTCTCTAGGATTCGAGGACCTTTGCCTAATGAGAGATTTAAATTGAATCCTAATACCAATTTAGCATAACAGGTTAATACAAATTTAAAACATTAATTAAATGGCTTCATTTTACATGAATGTGGCGGTTATATTTGTCCCTATAAAATGAGTCAATTTTATAATTTTGATACAATAACTTAAAGTATTATCCTCTCTACAATTTTATACTATATTCATACTATTTTGGCAACTCTATGATTGTGCCCATAGAAATAGAATCAACTATGATCCATATAGGTTTTGTCTCGTAGCCATGTAGTGTTGAAAGTACCCACACGAAGGAGAAGCAATATGACTTTAGGACAGCGTCCTCGACGTAACTCTCCAAAACTTGCATTCCTAGTTCTATTCTTATGTTTATATTATTGTTGAATTAGATTACTTATGTTTATGTTCAAAATATTAATTGTTAATTTATTTACACACAAATCACCCATTTTTTCTCAAAAATGTTGTTCAGTTGGTACTAAAATTCAACTTAAGTCTCTCATTAAGTAGAGATCTTGGGTTCGAATCTTGAGAGACGCGATAAAAAGTCGTGAGGGGATAAATGGGTAGATGTCCACCCAAAACGAACAGTATGTATGATATAACAGTTTGGACATATAAGCTGTGTCATTGCAAAATTGAGTAAAATTTGATAAAGGCATTCGTCTACAGCGAGATATAACCTTAAAAAATATTGTCAAAATTTCAAGAGCATTCTCATGCTAGTTTGTTTTCACATCTCCAGAGTGATATATTGATCTAGTGATCATGTGTTAGACCAGAAACGTCTTTCAACATTTGCTAGCTCAAGTAAAAGAGATATTTCTCTTTCACAAAAGCCATGGAGAAACATGGCCTTAGTTTACAAACATTAACGGGAATGAAACCGGCTGACTAGATAAAGTTCCTCCTTAAGCGGTAAGATTAAATTTTTTTTTTTGGTTAAAGAAGCGCTATAAAATGTTCTTGTTGGGAAAGAAAAGGTAATCTTAAGAAAAAATATAGTTGCAGGTGAGGATTTGTCTTAAGATATCTAACCGCCAAGGTTTACAAACAATTACTAAAAAATTGCTTTCAAGAGAATTGCACAAAACTGAGTGTAGGTTTGGTGAAGTTTTTGTAGATTATGAGTTTTGAGTCCTATGGATAATGAGATAAAATTGATGTTTAATCAGCTTATAAACTAGAAAAAGCTTTACCAAACATGCTTTGAATAGTAAATGGAGACTCAAATTACATTTCTTACCAAAAGGATAAGGAATAAAGCGAAGAATGTAAGCATCAGAGACTTGACACTAAAGGTGACAAAATGGGTTTCAAAACTATTTAAGGAAGAAAGAGAAGTAAAAAAAACCAATTCTATCTTTACACCAAAAAAGGAAGAAAAAATTTAGGAAAAATTCTGCATGTACAGAATTTTTTCATACAAAACAAAACCAGAAATCTCGCATGAGGTGGGGCCATGTGCATTTTATATTCAAAAAATTAAACCACCCACCCTTGGAGTTGTGAGTAGTCAGTAAGGTTTCTGACAAATCATTTTCTGTACATGTGGTGTCTCTCAAAATTTAGTGCACATAGGAACTGAGAGCTAATTTTGAAGTAGGAAATAAGAAAAAGCCAGTTGCATGGTCCATTCGGAGTATACTGTTCTCTGATGTTAACAACTAAATTGTGTAAGCATGTGAATTTCAGCTGAGCTGACTGTCATAGTGATTGCTGGCAAAAGGTTGTGCCATAATCTGACAGCTAAGCACTTATATTGTTGTTATATGTCATTTTTAGTTCCTTTTTCCAGACACAAGGTTTCTCAAAAGCAAACTCTTCTTTATTACCAAGGCAAAGCAGAAGCTGAAAACCAGAATTGTCATGGAGAGATAAAATAGGATGGATTCTTTATGAAATGAGGATTTGTCACTCTATTGACACGCGTTGATGTAGGAGGAGAATTTGGAATGGTAATGAAAGTTATAGGAACTATTTGTGTTGAAAAGAGATCAAAACATTTATGCAGTGGATATAATTTCCCATGGTTGATCCAGTTCAGAAATAGTGAAGGAGAGAGAGCAATAAAGAGCAATACCTTATCAGAAAAGTCTGGAAGGTTTTCACGAGGATGCTCCTCAAAATATCTCTTCAGAAGCTTCTTATCAAGCTACATTGAGAAGAAGTAGACATGTGAACAGCATGGAGATGCTATATCATGCACAGAGATAAGATCCTAATTATGCCAAATGGAAATATTTCTGTCAATCATCAACTATAACCTCCGAATCAATCATATATGTATATCGGCATACCTTAGATTCATCAACTGTGATGGGAAGATTGAGAAGATATTGCCCTGACTGTGCAATTTCAATCTCTTCATCAGATGCTATCTTAAAATTGCTCTTTTCCATCACCTGCAAAATAAGATAAAAGTGAATACAAAAGAAATATATTTAATAAATAAGGAAGATCTGATGTGCAATAACATGCACTCATTTTCCCCTTCGCCTTCGACCCAAGACAATGGGCAGCAGGTTGCCAACTTGATAGACGACGTGTTCAGGGATAGCAAGCATAAAAGTAATCATAAACATTACAAAAACACCAAACTAATAATAACCATGTATGTAATGTGTATCGAGCACAAACATTTTTGGAAACACTAAGTTAATAAGAGACTAGATTTTTTTGAGAATAAATGTTTTGAAAAGTGAAAGTTATGAGTCCACATACAGAATGTGTAGTCGAAAATGAGTTTAGAGAAAAATAAGTTTTAAATAATCTCTACCAAACAGGAGCTAAGTTTCCGCAAATAGGGCATCACACAAAAATAAGCAAAACTGCAACGTGTATCTGTCAGGTTAGGAGTCTCTTCCGTTTTGCTGTATTGCATTCAACCTGAAATAAGTACGTCAAAAAATTCTGTTCGAGAATGTCAACTTTGTCTGGAGATAAGTTCTGCTGCTCCAACTTCTGAGCCCCATGCACAGGATCAAAGAGGGAGTACAATTGCTGCATGCACATAGACATAATTACAAAAGAAATGAAAACGTCTACTTATTTAGATTTCCATCCAATAAACTGGGAAGCTTTACCATGAGATCCTCAAATTGTAGAAGATACCAAGCTCGAATTGTGTACTCAACTCTCTTACAGAGTTTCAGAAATTCAGCGCGATCAGAAGTTTGCTCTGCAGAAAGCAAAAACATAATACTTAAATAAAGGCAAAAAATTCTAACAGTTATCTCTTTGTTGTTTAATAGACTTCTATTCTATTTTGTTATTTGGAAAAGGAAAAGCATCATTTCACTGCCATCGCATCCTATTTTCATTTTTCCTGAATCGTGAGTAATTAGTATTAAGCAAGATTATCAAATAAAAGAAGGTGGATTTAAAAAAGTCCCCCCTATAAATAAGAAAACATAAACATTAGAAATGGGAAGCAAATGGCGTAGCGGGGAACCTACATATTCAAATTCGAAAAATTCACGTAGAATGTAAAAGAAAATACATTACCAAGGAGGTTGGCCAGGTGCACGGTGAGCTTAGGCTTGAGGATTGGAATGACCGATTCTCGCTCCAATCGTATCACCTCTTTTTTATTATTATTCTTTCTTGTCTCCATTTTTTCCCTTCTCTGTCGATTTATTTACCTGAATGCATCCACAAAGTGAAAATGGATAATTTTGGGAAATGAGGATTTTGATATCTTGAATTTGAATACAAGGTGGGTGGTTTTTACTGTAAGTATTTACTTCGAGTTTAAGGCAGATTAATATTCATAGACAATAAATCATCGGATTCTCACCTTTGTCCTTTCGCCTTTTTCCATTTCATCTTAATGATAACTTAACCGTCACTCCATTCAATTTATCTTGACCAACCATCAAACTATGATTTTTTAGGTGTATTTCATCCATGGTCACTAAAGTTTCAGCAAAATCTCAATCTAGCCATTAATTTTTAGCTCATCTCGTTTGGGTCCATGAACTTCAATTAAATTTAAAATCTACCATTCCATCACATTTCGCCTACATATGGCACAAAAGCTTGACAACACTACATCTTTGACTCTAATGTAAATGAATTTCAACTTAGTTTCATAATTTACCAATCACTTCATGGGAGATAGTTCCAATCTCGAATATTCATTTTATTTTATTTTTTTCTATTTTTAAATCAAATCTATTTTGAAATAAGAAAATAATATCTAAGAAAGTAAATGAGACTAAAATGATAATATTTAATTCCTACTTCCAGAGTTTAATTTATCACTTTATAACAACATTCTAAAAAGTAAAAAGCGTGATTATGTGTGAAAGCGAAGATTCAAACTTTACAAGTCTAGGGGTGTGTGTGTGTGTATGTGTATTATAAAAATATTATGCTTAATAATTTCTATAATTAGTCAATTATACAATTTTCAGGTTTTCAAATCTGCAAAAGCTAAACTATATTTAGATTATTAGATATCATTCGCCATCTCATCATTCTCTTCCCGGTCATCACAATTCTCTACAATCCAAAATTGTGCATTAATAACATCACCTGCTAAAGTCTCTATTTTGTCCTTCCTCTTCTTGCTCATCAACTTTGTATTAATTTAGGCATAAATAAGATTGTTCATCCTTGTAGTGTAGTGTATTTCTTTTCTTGGTGTGTACCTATAAAAAAGAAAAAGAAAGATACATTTAGCCCTTGTTTGATACTCATTTTTCTCAAAATATATTTTTTTCTCTCTTCTTCTCAACTACAAATTCTTCAATAAAATAATATTACACGCAAAACTAAAACATTTTCTTAATTTATAACCACATGTTCTTCACGAATTAACTATTTCAAAATGCGTTCTTACTTAAAAATGGGAAACAAACAGGGCTTAATGAGCAAAAGATATTCAAGTAATTATTCATTGGTCAAAAGGCTTTTAAAAAAAAAGGAAAAATTGTAATTAATGTCTAAGCACGCCAATTGCACATTAAGTGGTCAACTTGATTGCTTAATTTCGCATTTACTACCAAGAAGTAGCGCTTAAGTGCGATTTTTAGAATATTACTTTATAACATCAGTTTTGTTACAAGTACGTTAACTTTTTTTTATCGTTAAATGTAAAATTTCATAAATCAAAACTCATTTACAAGTACATCGAGCATACTCGGACAATCAAATATCAAATACAAATACAAGTATAATGGGTATACCCAGACAATATAAAATCGAGTGAAGTACAACTACTTCGGGCAAACAAAAAGGAAAACAATGTACAAACGATAGGCACTAAGGTCTCCAAGCTAAAGACTCAAAATGAATCAAAACATGCGAGTACAAAGCAAACATAACCTTGTACACATGTGTTTTAATTCGTCTAACAATGTTATTCACATGAAGATTTAGTTCCTCAAAAATCTTCATATTTCGTGCCATCCAAATATGGTAAGCGGTGCTCACAAGCGCAATTCTTTTGGATATACTTTGTCAAGATGTCCCTCGGGCATCTTTCTTAATCCACTTCAAAGCACTCGGAATAGTAGTCATAGATCTTCTAATCCCTAACCAAGCTTTGACCTTCATCCATATGATAGAGATGAAAGAGCATTGGAAAATTACATGTCCCATTTCCAAGCGCATCTCACAAAAAAACACAATTCTTATGAATGTCGAGATTCGACAATCGATCCTTAGTGAGTAACTTTGATTAGGCACCCTACCATAAGATAAAAGCATATTTTGGAGTAATAAAAGATCTCCAAACCTCCCTCGTCCATACCTTCATGTTTCCCTTCGACTGAAAATGCTTATAGGTGCCCCGGACGCAAAATTGCCAGCTTTATTCACATATCACATGATATCATCCAAACATGCACCACTAACATAATTCTTATAACATAGTTTAAGGCCCCGTTTGGGAGTGATTTTGAGAATTGATTTTGTGACGGTTAGGAGAAATGTGGGACCACCTGTGAGAGAAGGAGTAAAACTTTACGACTGAAATAGTGAAATAATGATCAAAAAATCAATTTTTTGAAGTGAAAAATCACTCCCAAACACCCCCTAATTCAGACAAACATTGCACGCTGCAAGATCGGATGCAATACAAATTGTCTTCTTGTCTGCTACCTTTCTAGTCTGAATTTTTACAATGTTTAGCGCTCACATAGAAACTGCCCTTGTATAGCATCAATAGATTAATAATTAATTAGCCCCCACTTCGAAAATTTTGTAAATGATTTAATTCATAATGATAAATAAAAAAAAATTAAATAATATTTGTAAATCTACTAATAGATCTAATTAAAAATAAATTTTGACAGTTCATAGAAAAATTTATAATTTTTGGAAAATAGCCTATACTTGACTAACGTTTATAAATTATTTATATAAACACATAAAGCCACATTTTAACAAGTTCAATTAATTTATCTACCACTCATTATTAGTTATTAAAATTATTCATAAACACTTCCAACATGCTTTTAAGATTTGCAACATGAAAATTAACAAGTTAATAGAAAGGCAGAAATGAAACTCGAGCCTTCGAGCCAAGCTTTGCAGTCCCCTATCACTCAACATACCATCCTGGGACCTCGATTTTGATTTTGAATTTTCTTTTTCTATTTTTCCTTTTTTTTTTTTTTTTTTTTTTTTTTTTTTTTTTTTTTTTTTTTTTTTTTTTTTTTACCGAATATGCAAACATATCTTTCGTAGTATAAAAGTCTACTTATATACGTGTGTATTGTACAAAGAGACATCGTTCATACTTTGACCACCCATATTCAGCAGGAAAAAAGGGGAAACACATCTAAATTACCACAAATGAGAATCATTATTGATTCCACGATCTTGAGAACGGTTTCCCCATAGACTCTTGAACTCCAGAATTCTGATGTGTCATTCCCATCCATCCAGTATTGTTGGTTTTGATGCCAGTGACAGTGTCATGGCTGCTCAAGTAGTTGAGTGAATTAGCAGATTGTTGCAACACATTGCTGCTTGATGGAATTCCACTACCATTTCCAGGCACAATGAATCGTTCTGCGGACCCCACTGGATCATAAGTGGCACTAGGACGCAGTTCATTACATTCTGATACGACACAGTATAAGGTCTGATCCGAGTTACTTCCACTGCCTATGCCATGGGTCCCACCACCAGCCCCCATCGACCAGCCATGCTCACTTTGAAACCAATTTTGACTAAGGTCTCCATTCATATGAGATAGAGGAGCCCAATCATGAATATTGACTGTCAAGTGCTCTTGCTTCGGCATAGAATATCGACCTCCATCACAATACACACTCTCCTGAATGTTCTGAGGCAAGTAAAGATCATTCAGTCTCTTCTGCCTGGGGTCCAAGGTAAGTGACGGATAAACCTGTTCCCTGAAATGCCCAGAAGATTGACCACCCTCCATCATTAGATTGGGCGCTGGCCTAAAATCTAACCCCAGCTGTTTTTGCTCTTGATGGCTCGGTAAACTGCCCTGATTCTTGAAGAAAGACTGAAGTAGTTCATTTCGAGCTTTGTTTGGGTAAGAAGTAAAAAATGACACATCATCAGGTTGTCTGTGCAATGAATTCTTCCCTACATCCTGATTCCTCCTCATTGCTTCCAAATCTATCATTTGTACTGGTTGCTCCTCTACAAACTGCGGATGGCCAAGTGACAACTCACCAGCAGAGGCATATTCATCACTTGCAGAAGTGGAACAATAATAAGAGCCGTGCATGTTACCTGCTGTCCAAACATTCCTCGTAGTTGGGTGAGGATCCTGCTGGCTGACAGGAACATCCACATGGTTCCGATTTCCAGGGTACTCTGACATTATTGAAGGAACTTCATCTGTCTTCGCAATTACATCATTTCCAAAGGATTCCATCTCTATTGAGTTGAACTGGAAGCTACCATCATTAGGCGAATCCAACTGCTGCTGTTGATGCTGATCCTGAATAAAAACATGGCTGGAGTCATCTTTATCATCTTCAGAAAGTTCTGTATCTTTAGGTGTTTGATCATCAAATACATAATCAGTCTTTTCCTCGTCAACCTGACAATCATATGACAACGGGGAAGAAGTTAGTACATCCACCTAATCTTTGTCGCACAGAAAACACAAATTAACAATTTTTTTTCTCTAGTGATTGACAAGGCTGATTCCATATACTCAACTACCCCAATCATAAACAAAAAATAGACAGTAAAATCAACCTCGGCAGTCACAGCCATATCGCAGTTTGCTTCTCCATTATCTATTGGCCCCTGAAGTAAGCAGCCCTCTTTCTCCTCATCCTGAACACCCACCAAATGGAACTGACAGGTTAATATCACACGCTTAAAGTAGACTACTGTATCAACAACATCAGCTTTTCAATGTGTGGTCGAAAAGTTTTAGGAGATTTAGATAAAAGTTGATGAAATGTGAGATTGAAAAGTTGATGAAAATGTATGGTCAAAAATTGAAGTTTGACCGGTTGAAAAGTTGATGAAACTTTAGCAAAGTTTTACCAAACAAAGTGATAATTTGTTGTTCCTAAATCTCTAAATTCAATCAGATATACAAGAAAAAGAGTTCAGCTGATAAACCTCAACTGTCATTGCAGGTATAATTTCTTCTTCGCTATCATCTGCTGGCTCATGTTGCTTCTCATGAGAATCATCTTTCTCTTCATCCAGAGTATCCAGAGTAGACTATTAGAAACGAACAAATTAAAAAACTGCAGCAACTAAAAATTTGAAAGAGATTTAAAATTAAATTTCAATGAATTTACATAACTAAGGATAAAAGAATAAATGCAACAAACCTCTTGAAATTTTAATTTTTGTCTCATTTCTTGACCCAAGGACTGTGCTAACTGTTGTCTCAGTAATTGTCTCTTCCTCCAGATACCGAAACCTTCGGGGACATTTTTATTTGCCAATTCCAACCTGTAAGATCAACATTAGCATTCATGAGCATGAATTGAAAGAGTTTAAAATTTTATTTTGTCGACATTTTTAAGACGGTTAAAAAAATAAAAAAGGAGGAGGAAAAACCAACCAATAATAATGCAGCTTCTTTCTTTCTTCCTCCTCAAATACCTCGAACGGTTGTACACGGAGTACGTCAATGCTACCTAAAACGTTATTCAGAGACATAGGCTTAATGCTATTACTAGAATGCTTCATACTACTCTTGACCCGCTGATGCTGTTCTTTGCTGACCTGAAGAACCACATAACACAAGCCTCAGCTTAAAAATATGACAATCACTCACACATTCCTAAAAGAAATAACATAAATGAAAACCCAAAATATTAGAAAACTAGGTGTCCAAATTTAATTCATGTAAAAAAGGTAATAGTTATGAATAGTGTAATGTCAAAGTAAATAACAATTTCTGCTGCACCAAAAAACCTTGATGTAAGACATATATTTGGCACCATCACCATGCTGTATATTGCGGTTTTGGAGCTTTTCTCCCTTTTTGGGCCGTTCAACAGCCTTTAAGCCATTGGAAGAATCATGATTTTTGTCCAAGAAGCCTTGTCTGCATATTCGAACACAGAACAACCAGCTGGAGTTATCAAGATGACTTTAGCTCTATAGACTTGCATTTATTACACACTCAAAATGATCATCAAATGCAGATAATGAGACCTCGTGAGTTCTTCTTTTTTTGGTCGGATGAGAGAGAGAGAGAGAGACTAAACTACCTCTTTTTAGATTTTTCAAGCATCACCACCAAGTTCTGATTGTCACTGCTGTATGCTTTATCAGAAGTAGCCCAAGAACATGAGTCAGGTGTTGCATCAAGGTGTTCTTCAGTGTCATAGAATCCAGTCTCAGACGTTGGCATGCCTTCGTCAGCATGCTTCCTTTCCCTGCTTATAAAATTCAATTCTTAAACCAAGATGGTTCGATAGATATATATACAGAAATTGTAAAATCTTGTAATGCTTTGAAACTAGAACAAGAAACAGAACCTCAAGGGATACATTAATAAAGGCCATTTCGTGACAATTTCAAGCTTATTCAGCAAGGCACCAAGAACTTTGATTTTCATGTTAGTTGTGGAAACATCGATGACAGGCTGCTGAAAAATGACTCAGAGAAAATTCCTATACAGTATTCTACATGACTAATTGCATGCAAGTCAATTTTGAAATAGAACGCTATTGTTTATCCATCTCCAAAACATATATAAAGGAAACGTAAGACAGAAACAGATAAATGCCAAAAAAAAAAAAAAGGCACAGTCAAAAGCATGTAATTAGGATTGCCATGGGTATCCAATATGAGTAACACTGCAAGAGTATTTGATCATCAAGTATTATTTACAAAATATCATCAGTTATTGGTTAAACAACTATTGTGGATATAAGTTCCATTTCCAAGATTTTTCATTCCATAATTAACTGAACAATTTAACCTTCCAAATTCAACAGATAACGAAAGAAGGGGGCCCTGGGGTGAAATTTTCTCAAGAAGACACACTGAATGCATTAATGTGATAATGGGGTTCCCAAAGAGCATGTAGGAGACTATTAACAAATTTCATACAACAAAAACACAGGTGCGAAGAGAATAACCTCCAAATTCTCTGCACAACGTCCTCAGGATCCTTGCAGGTGGCCAAAATTTCCTTCCACGTCCGCAAATTCCCAATCATGCTGAGACAAGGAACATAAGCTCTTGAACAGAAAAAATTAAAGCAATAGGACAACTCAGAAACGAAATGAAAACTACATACTTATCATGATACTTCTGCAAGTCTGAATAGTATGCCTTCTTACTGGTCTTGCGAGACTGTTCCTCATGAATAATGTTATCAGGATGAAGTTTCCCAAAACAAAGAGATGAGCCCCTGAAAAACATAATTCTACCAGTAAGCAACTTAGCTTAGCCATGGCCATACCATCGTACCAAATTTTAGAATGAAAGTCTGTAATGGGAAGAACAAGACTGATGACATCCCATCCAAGATGAAGAATTGTTTATTAGAATACAATTGTGTGACGTACAACAATAAATAAATAACATGAAGGCCATGTTTGATAGGCTTATATTTTCCATGGAAAATGGGTGTTTGATGGCACAAATTTAGCATGGAATTCCTTTTCCATCTTTTATTGCCACATAAGCAAATTTCACCAAATGGTGGAATTTCAATTCTCACCGAAATGGTGGGAATTGAAATTCAACCTTTTGACGTATTTTTTTTATTTTTTATCTTGCAATTGAAACAAATTTTAAGAATTATTATAATAAATTCCATTTCTTTAATTAGCAATTTCCATGTAAAACAAAGTCAAACGAACACCAAAAGATGGATATTTTTTATTTTTTATTTTTTTTTTTTTTGCAATGGAAACAAATTTTATTCCCAATACCAATGAAATATATCCCTTTAATTGACAATTTTCATGTAAAACAAAGCCAAAGGAACTCCAAAAGACACTTTTATTTCATCATTTTCCACGTGAAAAATTATACCAATCAAATACAATAATTTACAATTCTCAGGAAAACAATTTCTAGGCAATTCAATTCCCTGAAATTCTTTTTCAATTTAATTCAATTTCATCTTTGCAATCAAACAGACCCGAAGAGAAGACAAAACAAGTTGCACAATCCGAAAACACATGCATGCAAGCCAAAATTGTTCAAGATATTCAGAATTATAGTAAATGAAACTATTATGTGCAAGAAACAAAATAGTCCAGCTCATAGTCAATATATATTATGATTTATTGACAACAGCAGCTTTTAAAATCAGTTGTCTACAGCCCAAAAGCACAGTAAAACTTGCCATTTCTTGAAAGGATTTCCAAAGTGGAAATTAATCCCAGCAAGCAAGTCTTGAACAATATTATCTGACTCAGCACCTTTAGGTAGAAATTGCGATAGAAGACTTCGTTCATCTTCAGATAAAAGGTTCTGCCAGACCTATAACAGGTTCCATATGAACAGATAGGTTAAGAACAATAACTTCTTGACAAACAAGCATGAAAAGCGACAGTTACCTCATATGAGAACACCTCCGATAGACTTTCCAACTCAAATATCTCCTGAGGAACAGAAATTACATCAGCCAAAAAGATATGGCCACGAGCACCTGCCTCCATAAACGGAATTAAGTGTCTTTGAGCAATGCCAATCTGTTCCCTCTTGGAAACAACACTCTTTTTCTTGTTATCCCACTCAAGAAAGATGTTAGCTCTCATGTTCAGATCATACTGTTTTGATCCCATCTTCTTCCTTTTTACCCGGTGTAGTTGGCGAGAAGTATATCCAACGAAGCTGGTAGCATTTATCCGCTTTTTATGCTGATCGGCTGCCATGTTAACTAAAATAACTATTTAACAAGAAGTCTCAATATAACATTTTCTAACTTGATCTGAATCAAGAGGCCTCTTCCTTTGCTGAGAAAACTGAAACTTCAAGCGTAGAGATCTGTCAATAGCAAAATATACAATCTACTTAAGACTGCCCATGTTCGATCTAGTACATCTAGAAGCAATCAATTTAATTCCTGTAAGAAGATGTAAACACTCCAAAGCAGAAAACCAAGTTGCAAAATCTACAAAAATATAACAAATGCTCAAATGTACTGAGATTAAAATCCTAGTTCCTAAGAAGCTAAATAAATAAATGAAAAAGTTTTTCTCTTCAGATTCCTGTCTGTTAGAGAGGTTATTTTGACTACTTTGATTTTCCGTTGGCTGGAGGTCATGCTGTATGTCCCTACTTCTAAGTTATTGCTTAACTTTTTGTTTTTTGCTTGCAGTAGTAATAAATACCCCAACTTTGAAGTGGTCAAATAAAAGTGGTCAAATAAATATGGAAGACACTATAAAAACATCATCTCGCAGAATGAAAGTGGGATACTTAATGGATGATAATGTATCATAATATTCTTCTTCACTCGAGTCTGTTTATCAGATAATAGATGCAGCCATATGTTCATTCTTACATAGAACTTCCAATCTCAGAAGAGTATCAATCTCAAGTGAGCTCCATGAATTAGTTTCATGCAATAATACCAATCCATGGCATAGACAACGACACCAAAAAAAGTCAAAACCAGTTTCACAAAATAAAACTAAGCCCTAGTTTGATTTTTATTTTTTCAGAACTAATTCTTCATGGAGAATGTAGAGTTTAAAAATAGGGAAAATTATGGATCCATGTGCAAAATTATTTTATTGGGAGAACATGTGGTTGAGAATGAGTTTTGAGGAAAAGTGATTTTGAAAAATCCAAAATCAAACAAGGGCTAAATTTAGATATTCTGTTTGAAAGAATGTAGTCAAATTACTGGTATATACTTATATTTGAGATTCCATAAGGTATGATCGGTAGGTAAATTTAAAAAGTAAAAAAATATATATATAAATAGTGAACTATACAGATAGCATATTCGTCTTTACAATGGACTCTCCAATTAATAAATTCAAATCAGATGAATAAATACCGTGCACGGATTCAATATGAATTGAAAGAAAAAGAGAGAAAATAAGAGTGTGTTTGAGGATTCCACAGCAACACCGTTCAGACTCATTTTGGGGGGAATACATGGGGACTGAAGGGTGAGACGTTACTAAACTATAGAGTTAAAGAAACAAGAAACAATTAAAAAGAAAGATAAGGGGGGGAAGCGAAAACAATAATAACAAGCATTACAAGAAAATGGGGGAAACGAATAGTGTAAAAATTCCAAGTAAAACAACACTGAACGTATTGCCCAAATTAACAGAACCAGCAATTTCAATAAAACGCCTATAAAGATGTAAAGTAAAGCAATTATCCCAGATTAAAATGGGAAAAAGAAAATTGATGAATAAAGAAAAGAGATAGCATATTGGGGAAAAATAAAAGCCCTATAAAACAGAAACAGGGTGGGAACCAAACAAAGAGAATACCTGGTTCGCGAAAACAGGAAGTCTCGAGTGGCTATGAGGTAGAGAGAGATTGGAATGGAGACGTCAAGGCACGCAGCACAACACAACAATACAAGTAAGAAGTAGACCACAGATTGAGAGATGATCATCGTCACCATAGATAAAATCGGACGAATCAGGTTTCTTGTAACCAATGTTATAAACACGGTACCACCAATACAGCGGAAGAGTACAACGTAATTGTGAATAGTATGATACTCTCAATCAACAAAAAGAAAAATTAAGGGAAATAGTTTATTATTTTTTTACCAGATTGCAAGACAGTTGGCTAAATATATTCAACTACAATTTTTAATAATTAGATTATATTTTGATTGCTTAAAATGTTCATAATCTTTATACATTATCACATTTATGTCTCAAACTTTTTTCATCTCATTCTTATTTTCAAATTAACATAAAATATTTCTGATTTTGGAGATATAGAGTAAAAAGATTCATTTGTTCATTGCATTTTTTTAATAAGCAAAACAAATAAGAACTCAAAATGTGATTAAATATTTGACCCTCATTTTAAAGCACATTAACAATAATTTTGGAAGAAAATCATAATTAAGGACAAAATTTTATGACCAATAAAATGTAAAAAAATAATAATAATTATATGATAAAGAAAAAAGTTAAGGGCATAATTGTGATAATAAATAAAGGTCAATGACATTTAATGTAATAAAAATATGGAGTATTTATAAAGAAAAAAATGTTGTGTAAATATAACCACCTAAGACATTCTGATAAATATGTCCATTTTATCGTAAAAAATGATAATTAGTGCAAAAGGAAAATTGTAATTAGAAATTATAATCACTTTGAGTAAATTGACAAGAAAATCTTTGCAAAAAGAAATAAAAAGAATCTAATACAAGACTAGGCCCATTTTTGAGCCACATTTTAGGAAAATAAGGTATTATTCATGTCAAATCAATAGAAAATGTGTGGTTAAAAAATAAGAAAAAATTTTAAATTTGCATGTAATATTATTTTATTGAAGAATATGTGGTAGAAATGATGTCAAATCACTGTTAAAAAATATTTTTTTTTAGAATAATGTGACTCAAACAAATTCTAGAATAAGAATGATATAATATAAAAAAAAATAAAAACTTGATAATATTTACAAAGTTAAAAAGTCAAGAGTAAAATTCATTTTTTTACTCTAAAAATATTCTTGAAACATGCATAACGACCAACTTCATGTTATAAACAATAGTTATATCATTTTATATAATACACTTCGAGAAATTCATAAGTATTACACATTTATCCAACATTCAAATTTATCTATTTATAATTTAAATTATTATAAAATGTGCAACAAGAACAATTGTTATAATTCTCAAGATAATACATAGGGAGTCTTTGTTGCTTTTCTTCCACCCTAAAGATTATCTTACATTTTTCAAAATCCATTAATGCTTATCCAGTTGTTAAGAATGATCTTCCAAAAATTACTAGCATGTGTTGATCTTCTATATCTAGGATAATGAAATCAACTGAAAAAATGAGATCTCTAGTTTTGATTAGGATATCCTCAATCACTCTATAAGGGTGCTTGAGAAATCTATCAGCCAGCTATAGAAAAATTGAAGTTGCTTTTGGATCCCCAATCCAAATTTCCAGTAAATAGACAATGATATCAAATAAATACTTGTACTAGAATCAATTAAAACAATTATACTACATGAAATCCCTATTGAGCAAGGTAAAAAGAAATTCCCAGGACCTTTTAATTTAGGAGGGAGCTTGTGCTATAGAATTTCATAGCAATCTTCAGTTAATGTCACTAGTTTATCGATTGACAGTTTTCTCTTCTTGGTCAACATCTTTTTAAAAAACTTAGCATAATTAGAATTCGTAGAATGACGTCAATAAAAGAATGTTGATATGAAGTTGTCTATAGGCATCCAATAATTTTTTTAATTGTTTTTCCAACTTATTATTCTGCAACCTTTGAGGGAATGAGATTGAATACATATGTTTATTGAATAACTTGTTCATCATTCATGGTAGGTACCTGGTTCTTGTTGGTCCCTTTCTTCTTTGTAGTTATTTTCGACGTGTGAACTCCACTTCTTATTGTGATGGCCTGAACATGTTCCTATTTTGGCTGCTTTCAAAGTCTTTGATGGAATGGAATAGGCAGCACATATGCTCGAAAACAAGGCTGAAGACTTAATTGATGATGTTTCAATAACTACATAATTCTTAGCATCAACTGCTAATACATATTCTCGTGGGTTCGTTTCTGTGTTACTTGGTAAGGTATCATATGTTCTGTTGAACAATGCACTGCTATTTGCCCTATCTGAGTTTTCAAATTTTTTATTACAATGTGTAAGTTTCGAAAATTAATCTAGTCTTTCCATTGTATTGAGCCATTAATTCTTCCAACGATGGTTTCTTCTCTTGTTTTCGACGAAATTCTAGTGGACTATCCTGAATCTAATATTCTTAACTCTATTTGTTAGTCCATGAGAAATTTGAATGATTCCTCCAACCTAAATTATAAGTGTTGGAGTAAGAGTTGTTATATTGTCTTTGAAAATTCTGTGTATAACTGACCACCTCGAACTAATAAACATGCATGAAAGCTAAAGGATAGCTTGCAGTTGTATGATCTGCCCCATAGATTGTTGCTGGTTGGTGCACCATATTCACATTCTAAGTTAGTTTGTCCAACTTTTTTCTTAGTACTTCCAGCTGGGTTGCCAATGATGTAATTACATCTATGTTGTAGCTACCCTTCATTTTTTTTTTTTGCAAAATCTTTGTATTTTTTTTTTTTTTTTTTTGCAGAGTTTCCTTTCAATTGACCACATAGACTTATTTTCTGCAATTTTTTAAAAAAGACCTAAGATGTTGTCTATAGGCTTAGTCATTATTGATCCTCCTGCTGAAACGTCGATTATATTATGGTATATAGGATGCAGGTCTGAATAGAATATGTAGACCTGGGTTCTTTTAAGAATGTCCGATTTGTACACTTTCTGAAGTAATCCTTAAACCCGTTACATGTTTCTAGATAGCTCTTGAGGTCCTTCTACTTGAAATTATGAAATTCATTTCTAATTTGATGGACTCGAGAAGGCAGGAAGAATTTCAAGGTAAATCTTTGTACCATGTCATTCCACAAAACGCTCAGGACGTAATGAGTGTAGCCATTCTTGTGCACATTCCTCTAAAGTATGAGGGAATAAGCATATTCGAAAGATGTTTGTTAACATACCATTGTGACTGGTTATTTTGTAAAGCATTAAGAAGGCGTGTATGTAAAACAAGTTGATAATATATTCTCGTATGTGAAAATTGTCATGCCCAAAAGGTGGATAAATAATAGTCAGTTGCACAGCAGCTAAAGCGGGAATTACATAATCCCGTACTAATATTTTGCCATTATTGGTAATTGGTTTTGGAGGATGGTAACTGAATTTGATTCTAATTTTTGGCCATTTTCTTGCTTCTCTCTATTATCTTCTTCGTCGTCTGAAGATTCTTTCAATTTTAGGATTCAATAGTAGAAGTTGATTTTTTTAGAATCTTACATAATCTGCTAAACAACACCAAAAAAACAAAATCAATTAAAAGAGAGGCCAGGTATGTGATTAATAGTCTAAAACAAATAAAAAATAAATAGTTCGAATCTTATATAAACTAATAAACTCAAACAAAATAATTTATTCCCTGGTAACGATGTCAAAAACTTGTTTGTCAAAATCTTACAAGCGTATGGGATCGTTGATGTAACACTCCGAATTTTAATTATATTTTCATATGAGTTAAATTAATAATGATCATCTAGCAAATGAAATAGTCCATGTTTAGTCTTGTCGTCACACTAAAATTCAAAGGTTAATGCGATTTACTCAACTCACTTATTTGCATAAATGATTTATTCGCTTACGTATACTTTTAAAAATCTACCGTAAGTTATTTGACTCGAATATTTAAGTATTTTAAAAGTTAATAAAAATACATTGATATTATACTCATTTTGTAGCTTGTGTTAAATTGCATAGATTGGCTCAAGAGGAAATAATTTGGACTAGTCATATCCAAGTTATTTTGATAAAATGGAAGTATTCTAAATTTTATACTTTATTAATAAAACAAAAGGTAAATAATAATAATAAAATAATGAAATATAAGAAATGGCAAATACGTTGGTTTTGAGAAAATTGTAAAGCTGTAATATATTATAATTAATAAAACATAATTATCCCATTAATTTTAATAATAACTAAATTAATTAACTTTATAATTCTTACGAAATGTGACATGCATTTGAGTCCAAGAATTTAATATGAAATGTTTGATTAAGTTATCGTGAGAACTTTATATGAGTAGGATTTGTGTTAACGTCATTTTTCCATTTTCATACTTATACACAGTTCATTTTTATCTATCAATTTCAGCTTATATTTTAATAATTTTTCATGTCAATCGAGTTAAGAAAACATAGTGCAAAAGTGGTAAATTTTTATTTCTTTATGTTTATATAAATTTTGGCATGAAATACTATAAGGACTTTCGGGTCGTCTTCTATGTTAAATTCTTCGAAATGGACCGTTAAGTCGAATATGTTAAATTCTATGGGATGGACCATTTGGTAAAATATGTAAATCCTATAGGATATAGGAATTCTTATGAAAATTTCTTAAGTTATTGGATGTCGTGTACAGTTTGCTCTAAATCTAAAAAAAATGTAGGTTTGTCATCTCATTTTATATTTATATCATGTTAATAAGAATATACACGTATTTTCTACTGAGTATTTTTTTAAAATACTCACTTTTACAATAACTTTTCAGATTAGAACGGGTCATGTGGACATGTAGCAAATTGATTGAGTGATGTTTATGGAGTCGTCAAGTAAAATTTCTAAAGAAGAAAATTTGCAAATTTCCTT